GAATAGGTCACGGTTTTGCTCAATTACCTATGTTTAAAAAATATGTAGATCTAGATAAATATGTAGAAAAGAATCTAGATAATACATATAAATAATAAGTAGCAATGATTTTAAAATTAGCTACCAAGAATGGTATACAATGGAAGAACAGGATGTCTACGTGCGGCATAGAAAAAAAAACTTTAAGAAAAAAAAATGGATAAGTTTAAATAAAGAACATTCTTTATAGGTCTCTCTTAATTGTAAGGCTTAGAACAAGACGAAAGTAAGTAAGATAAGCAAGGAAAAGAAAATGCAACGACATGTCAAATTAGTTAGAGAAGTAAAAGGGACTAAGATCAAGATTATGACAGGATTATCAAAAGCGCGATAATGTACATTGGCCTCGGTCCGAAGCTGGAGAAGAAGTCGGGTGGATTTTAGTCAGTAAGAGTCTGATAATCTCTCTCGCCTCACCCAGGGTTGAAGAAGACATTTATTAATAATATTCACCACCATAGGAACTAAAAATAAAATACGTTTGTTGGACAATTCGGTAACACTCGTTCGTTGATGCTGAGTGTACCAAATGCGTGGATGCCGTAAGAATAGGTCTACTCAAACCTACAAAATTAACAATCTTGCACGGTTCTGACAGATGTTATATTTGTGTAGACTATAAGACATATTGTTACTTCTCTGAGTTTGTTTCAGCATTTCTTGTTATAGAAGTCGGAAAAGAAATAGTGACCTTAGACAAATTTTAAAAGCGCTACTTTCTAGCCATTCTATGTATCTGAAAATAATTAATTTCATGAATATCGTAGTGCTTTATCTCGAGTAAGCTGGCATCGTCTAAGTCAGCCTTTATTCCTGCAAAATATGTTTATGCTAAAGCTTTTTGATTACTGTTTTCAGTTACCTTAATAGTAAAAAGTCCCTAGTACTTAACAATTATAAATTTATCTAAATTCAAATCCGAATAAAGCTTAGACTGATCTAGTTATCAGAAATAAGAAGCTGAAGGATTGAATGCATTACCTATCACGGATCACGGATCATCCAGTCGATAATCCGTCAAGTGGTTGTATTTCAAATCATTGAGATAAAATCTACAGTAGGTATAAGTATCTACTTTAGGTGCTCGAAGAAATGGATCATTCAACAAAGATATCGGAACCACATATGTACATATGTATGTACCTATTTACGCTCACTCTTAAGTTTTTATTCAAAAGTAAAGTTACAGTGTGTGCTGCAGTGTTTGTGTGTGAGTACCATTCACCTATATTTTTATATGTGAATCAAATAAAAAAAAGTTTTTTTTTTAATAGAAATATAATTTATCCTTCAATCGTGGCAATTCGAGACACAATAGTAGGTACAACGCCGTTTGCTTGGGGAATTGACGAATTAAATAAAAAAATTAAAAAAAATGTGGTATTGAAATCTGACAATCAATATTCAATCAGTATAAAAGAACTAATTATCCAATGTAGATTATGGTTATTATAAACAAAAATACCCTTGGTTTATTTACTACGCTTTCCAATAAAGGTTTTTTTTGCGATATGGTATTTTCTATTCCGTAATTTTATCACTCACTAGCTTCTAACCGATGATTCGCGCCATTTATATAAATTTAATTTTATTTTATCGAAATGATTCCAGTAGTTTCGCAGATCAGCTTGTGCAAACGAATATACAAAGAGAATTTGTATTTTTATGAAAAAAAAATCTCTATCATTGTTTCCTTATCACCGTATTTTAGTTTTATTGAAAACTAGCTACCCGCCCCTGCTTTGCACGGGTCTACAACTATCTCGCTAATGACAAAAGGGTCACCATTATCCAGCTCGCCTCTCTACTTTTCTAAAATTTACTTACATAAGAACCTTCTCCTGACAATAAAGAACACAGTGAAAAAAGAATTGGCCAAATTGGTCCAGGCGTTATTGAGTTATGCGCTTACCAACACATTTTGCGATCCATTTTTATACATAAGATATAAGATAGATAGATTATTTAAAATGCAGACACTTTTTTGTGTTTTATTATGTGTTATATTATATTATTATATGTTTGTATATACGATAAAACTAAGTAAATAGACAGTAAATAATCAAAATGCCTCAACGATATGCTGGAGGCAGTACTAAGGAGTTTTAGTTTTAAGTTTTAGACAAATATCTTTTTAAATCCGTGTAACTACATATTTGAGACAGGTTTCCCTGTTAACATATTATGTACATGTGGTTATTTTAAATATATTACATCAGTAACGGTTGTCGTTTCAACATTAATAATGTAGATTCTACAAGTGTTCGAAATTTAAACTTTTAAATTAGATGAGTTTTTAACGTTTTCTTTGTCCGTATTTCATGTGAAACAATATCATTTCTTTACTCCAAAACAAAAAATGACCATGTCCTTGGCTGTATAAACAGAGTTGACGGATTTATTATTAACTAGTTTTTGTTTACGACTTTGTTCGCGTGGAATAGTGACTTCCTGCAGATTTTTGGTTTAAAAACTATCCTATGTCCTTTATCGAGTTCCAAACTATGTCTGTACCAAATTTCACACAAATAGGTTCAGTCGTTTAGGCGTGAAGAAAAGACAGACAGAGTTACTTTCGCATTTATAATATTAGTTTGGATAGTTTGTATAATGTTAGTTTATCATTAGTTCTTTTATTTATTAGTTTTTATGTTATTATTGTTTTTCTTATTTATGTTATACTTATATACCGTGCCAGTAATACACAGAATACTAGTCGCATTTTACTGTCATATTACTATGAAACATTGACACGCGTTGCTTCAGTGTCTAACAGGACCGGTACTCTCAGAATTGCGTTGTAAATTAGCTATATCAATGAAATATGTTAATTATCAAAATAAACATAGCTGATACTTGTGAAGTATTGAAAAGTAACTCAAATTATACAAGTAATGACTAAATAGGCTTGTAAATATTTTGCCTGTTATACCTACGCCAAAGGTATACCTACTTACCTAGTAGGCAAAATATGTATTTACTAGCTTTGGAAGTTTAAAAAAGTATTCTATGTAACATTACATAGAATATTTTTTTATGAAATGAGCAGAAGGCTAATCTGATGGTTAACTTTGGACACCGCTTATGGACATTAAAGTATTTTGCCGGTCTGTTGGGAGTTAAGGATTTTGAGGACTGAAAGGATGGGAAGGATTGAGCCTAATTTTAACATGCATCGTTTTGGACACTCATCAAAGCGATAAAAGTATTCTGCCTGCCTTATAGACCCACTAAGGTAGGCAGAACACTAGGGATTGTGGTGGATACGTGGTGGGAAGGATTGAGTCTCCAGTACGGTCATTTAAAATTTTAAACTTGTTATTTCACGACCGTTTCTGTGAGGTCGTGGTGCAGCTCCAGTCGAACCGTTTAATATTTGTGATGAAGCCTAGGCTCGCCCACAGATAAATTTAATATAATTGTATAGAACGTAATTTGAACGAACTCTGCAACGTAACTTTGTAAATACTACTTAACATGAAACGGCGAATCGAGCTTATTATTTGAGGCAAATATTTTCCACTTAGATGAACTCTAATAGTAGACGAGATATGATTAAAATACGATACTTAAACTAATTAGCTTTAGAGGTTATGTACTAAATTATAAAATTAAATAATTATTTGATACTTGGTATTTCGACAAAGAATATACCATTGTCTTGCGTCGAGGGAAAAGTAAAGGCAAATATGTATTTACGTATATAGCCCTTGTGGACAGTTCTTTTTATGACAATTCTTTATTTCTTTTAATTGCAACTTCTTAAGTACCTAGTTTCTATTACTCTTCAATATAATTATTTTTATTTTACGATGCGCCTGATTGCACGCGACCACTCGTTTGCCTTAACCGCTTTACCTTCTCCGCACGTTAAGATTATTTTTATTTACAAACTAGTGGACTCGGCGTCTTTGATTTGTTTCCGTAGCGATGCGCTAAAATACGCAAAGCATTGCTACTGCTTGATATTAATAACATTTATTTCCCAAAAAAAACTAGGATCTTCTCCTTGTTTTGTCTAGCTGTTCTCACGCGATGCCATTGATCAAGGAAAATTAAGACAATTTTTATATAAATACCTACCTTAAATTATACACATAGCTTGTTTACGCTTGCTATTTATTTATTTAACTGATATCAATAAGAGGGATTTCGTTGTGTCATTTAATAAGTATTTTTTTATGAAGATGACTTGCTGTTTCTTGATGTAAACCGAATCGTAATTAATAAAACTTCTTTGATGAATCAAAGAAGTCCAGGTTTTCGTACAAAAAATGGTAAGCTAAGTCAATATATTGGAAGGTACTAAGTTTTCTGCCTTTATGCCAACGACTTCGACTGTTAAAATTAGAATGTAAACTCAAATTTTCTTCTTGACTAGCTGTGGGGGATTTAAAATCAGTAACACTAAATATGTATGTACATATTACATTGAAATAAAAATATTTCTCGTGTCATCAGTAATTTATATATGTATTAGAATGTATTTTATTTTAATTTATTGAAACTATTATTTAAACGTTAACGTTATTTATTTAAACGTTAATATTCTGCACGCCTCTTATTACTTTGTATTACGTTCAAACTTTGTCGGAGGCCGGAACTAGGATTTAAACTTTAGACCTCGTACGAGGACAGCTATTCGACAGCATAATAAAGAGCTAAATATGCCACGCTCAGCATAGGTCTGTAGTTTGGATAAAAATATAAAAGTAGGTACGAATCTGAAAAAAATGTTGCCCTACGCAATGAATTTTCTCCTGTATTGTAAGTGCGTTTACAATATCACTTAGAACGACACCCAGACTTAGAACAACCATTTGTGCATCTCACAAAGAGTTGTTCTATGCGGGAATCGTACCCGCGACACGTTGTGCGGCCACAAGTTGTTGTAAGTGCAGTTGATATTACAATGATACTGTTTCCAAGTCACTTTTTTAACAATAAATTTCTTGTTACAGGAAAATGGAGAACAATACAACGACAAAGAAAGTCAACATTAGCCACATCAGTGGCAATGCGGTCTCCTACAACCAGGATGACAAGTAAGTGTTTAAATATATCATCACCGCTCGATACCACTCCATAGCATCACCGATATATCAGCTCCTTGAAATTCGCCTCCAGAGAAAGCCTCGCTTTCAGAAATATCACCGTTTTCGTTATAAATGGTATCTCTCTTCTCATGGATTCTTCTGCAAAGGATCAATAAAAGTTGTTCCTGACCTCAATATTTACCTTCTTCTGCCTTATCAGTAAAAGCAAGGTTTCAAATATAACATTCAAATTTATTTAGATCTTAGTAGCAACAGCTCAGAAGTTTTGCCAACATCCTAACACTTAGTACACAGAATATCTGCTTACTTCGGACGAACTTCTTTAATCTTGAAGTCGTTTGCTGTAGAGGCAAAAATCTTTAAACGGGACTGTGAGAACTGTTACCCGCCGCCCTGTTTCTTCGAATCAAGGTCTTGATCCAATTCTGCAAATGATCGCTTGAAAGAGTTAAGGATTATTATATCATTGACACACTGAGCCGAAGGTCAGGTAGATGCAGATCACAATTGTGACTGCAGTAGCCCCCTGTCTATTTATATTGAATAAACGGGTGCATTGTTGTCCCCGCAACTCTGATGTTGACCGTGGTAGGTCAATACAATGTAGTTGGACTTACACTGCGTGTTAAATATAATCTTATTGCTGTTAACACTTTAATAGGAGCACTCGATGCATACGCGGACAGTCGGCCGGTAAATTGGGTTGGGGACTTAGAAATGTTGGAGAAGAATTCTATCAGTCGTTTGTGTAATTTCTTTTGAGATTTTAAGGGATTTTCATAGTTAGTTTATTATGTTTTGATTTAAGATGTGTTTCTGTTAGTTACTCATCTTTTACCGACACTCTTTATTTGAGTGGCGTTAATACGCACGAGGACAAGATCCTCGAGATAGCTGTCGTATTATTGGGCAGAGAGACATAGTTTTTAGATACTTAAACAGACTATTCTTTATGCAACGATTGAATTACAGATCTTGATTATAGGCTTGTACTTACAATAATCAAACTAAATAATAAGAAAATAGAGTTTGAACCCATTAAATTTATAAGTTTAAGTTTGTATTGGTTGGATCTAGACTCACTTAGACTGTATGGCGGTGACGTTGAATTAGAAGGGTCGCAGGTACGAATTCGGCCTTCGATAGATTCGAGGTTAATGAACCTTGCGGTAATACAGCCCGCCTAGTGCACAACATTGGCTCATGCAGTATTTTTAATAAATGCGTTTTCGAAATGTCTGGCCACAAAACGGCGTTACGTGTTGATTTGATTCTAGCGTTTACAAATTATTTTATCTTTTTTGAAATAAATAAGAGACACATTTTAGAATATCCGATAGTTTCAAAATAAAGAATTGAGATGGACGTCCGATGAGGTTTTTAACATAATCAGAAAAACTGAATATACATAATTAACACATGGAATAAGACCCTTTTTTGTTACCAATTATCCATCCAGTTTATTTCAAGTCATCAACAAAAATATTTTAGAATGTAATTAGCTCGGCTTTATCTTGAATTTTACCTTCAATATATTTTTTATAATTATAACAAGTATGTTGGCAAAGTCCGGGTGAATTTAATTGAGCTCTTAATTTTTTCCTGCTCCCGAGTGAACTTTAGAAAATCTAACTTTGTTTTACGTCTCTGTAAAGATTCATCTCATTTCTCCCCTCATTTCTTGATTTCTGCTTCCAGTATTCTAAATCCTGTAGTTTCAGCTAGAGCTCACCATAGGTTGGTTGTACTGTTTTTCAAACTAAATTGAAGTTATGTGAGAATATACTAAGTATTAATCAGCTGTATTATACCTAAGCCAAATTAGACAAATGCTTAAGTCAGCCAGGTTGTCAGCCGGGGTTCCGGGGTAAGCGCAATTAGGGACCGCGACCTCGGCCCAGAGCAGGAGAAAGAACGGGGAAGTTTTTAGTCAGTAAGAGTCTGACACTCCCTCCCGCTCAGTCCTGGGCTGGAGAAGTCATTTGATGTTTTTCCCCTTACAGAAAAGCCATGTCGCGGAGGTGCGCGACAGGGCGCGCGATATGCAAAATGCGCGAATGAATTCTAAAACTTGTACGAGCGCCAAGGAAATGCTTACCTACCTAGGTATTATCTATTCTATGTATAATCCGCCTTTACTACAAATGCTATACCTAAAATGATGCCTATTATATTATGTAAACAAACACATTATCTTAACTAGATCAATAGGGCTAGGAATATTCTGCAATTAAGCACTATTGGTGATTTATTAATCTCGAATTAATCACTTCCTAACCGTAATATCTACAAACAAGAACTAGATTATTCCAACGATTGGTAGGTAGAGATCTCGAACTTTGTGGAGTTTTTACTGTTCTTAATGTTAATTGACTATCATTAAGGCGTGATTAAGTTTATTAATTTGTTTATGTGATGGGCATCTATCGAGTAAAAGGGTCACGGGTGCAACCCACACCCACAACACCAGAATAAGAACAGCTGCAAGTGTGTTGCCGGCTTGTTAGGGAGTAGAGATTTGCACATTTACTGTATGGGCATGATACCTCGGTTATATTATAATATACTCTTAACTATCCAGTTTTAACAAGGAGTTACAATAAGAAGCGGTGGAAGGAACAGGGAGGGGAGGTGTTAGTCAGTAAGTCTGAAACTCCCGCTTGCCATATTATGGGCGGAAGAAGTCATGTGACGCTTTTTTCGCTGAAGGGCTAGGCAGAAGTATAATTGCTGCATTAACTTGTTTTCATGTGTGAATCAAGCCGTGACACGTTGCGCGGCAGCCTACCTTGCGGAACTGTGGTGTTAAAAATGTGTGGATATATTAATAAATAAATCGTAATACTAACTTATGTTCTTAAGCGCGATTTTATTAATTGTCGTTACATAATACTTAATTTATTAATGAATGTATTATTGTACATTGTTCCCACAGTACACAGATACTTGCTGTGCTCATTGTAATGATGATCATTGCAGGTAATGCGACAATGACTATGAGAGATAAGTGATTGTGCACACAAAATGATGTTAGCTATTAATGCTATACTTACTAGACGATTATAAACAATGGTAAACAATCGGCGCCGTCCGTTTACTCCCGCTATTTTGAGGCGGACCGTTGCCGATCTTTTGGGCTTTAAGAGTTTTGGATAGTTGAGAGTATTTTTCTAAGGGTGCTTTGGGAAAATTCTCAAATGACTTAGTGACTAAAACCCAATCCCGTACCTTTCCTGCTCCAGGCCGCGATCGTGCGACATTATTAAGCTTGACCAACTCAGGCCGAGCATCAGCCATACTGGGTCCCAATTGTGTTGATATGTTGGCTATATTGGACGCCGTGCGTTCGGATCTTACATTGCTCGCTTACGGCTGGAGTGGCCGGAGGCTGTGTGGCTAAGCAATAAATTTTCCTATTGTAGTGTTCACTTCTTGTTTTGCCGTTTTGGGCGTAATATGTTACGGACACTATTAAAATCTAGGAATTCTAATGATATTTTGAATGGTGACTGATGTTGATTAGGACACAACCTCTATAACTGTCTTTAATAAAAAATATATCTGTAAGTAAAGATGATACGTATCTCACATAAACTAACCTCAATTGTAAAATAAGTGTTCAGTGTATCGCAAGCGGTGTGCTACATGCCTATGACATGTGCTCGGCTCAAGGTCGCTAAGTTTCTACGATCTGTGAGCACGTGCTGCAGTGACGAAATATAATATAATAAAATAATATATTTACGAAACAAGGGGTTTTCCAAAAATATTACAAGATGTTAAAATCAGCAGTGAAACGAACGTTGATTTGTAATGAGTTAACTTCAAGGTTAGGCGAGTTTTATGCAAGGATTGCTGCAGTGAGCTCCGGTATCGAATTACAAAAGCTGTTGGATTAGATCATTCATTTTGGAGACTGGTACCTTTTATTACTTAATAGGACGGAGGTCTGGTCTGGAGGACCAGATTATTATCAAAAGGCAAACCACTATCATTTAACATGTGTAATCTACACTGGTTGATGAATTTCTGAAACTATTATTCAATAAAGATACGATAAAAAATTAATAAAAGATACGATAAATAATATAAATAAATGATACACAACAGTTGTGAGCAGCACAAGTAAAATTTAATACAAAGCGATACATTGGAGTGGTGTAGCAACTTCCAATGCGCAGGGGCAGGGCCGGCTGCCGGCTGTAACGTCGTATCACAGTTGCAATGCCCCGTTGTTTAGCAATAGTACCGGCTGTACCTACACGAGATCGAACCGGGGCTCCGGAGCTAAGCGAGGGTGTTGCACAAACCGCTCAACCAAATGGCTATACTTATTCGTCATCGTTGCGATATCATTATTGTTACCCACGGATCGGTAACATACTTTCACTTTCAACATCGGATTCCCCCAATTTGGCCGGAGTTCGGAGCCGGAGTCAGTTGTTAGCAGACCACGAGCCCCGCCAGCTGGCTCCCACACACCATAACAATTCAAATAACATGGTGAGTGTGTTGACATTTTTTTGTTTCCTTAATTGTTTGTTTGTGACTTTGTGTTCAATAAAATATTTTATTCTCATTAACAATCTAGTTTTTAACGAGTAATTAAATTGTTTCTAACAAGTGACTGTGTTTTAGAGGGCTACACTTATAATCCTGATGCTGTACTGCGCTGTGGTCGTGGTGACAGCTGAAGAAGCTGCTACCAGGGACCTAGACCTTCCTGAAGACATTGCAGATAGTGAGGACTTGGAGAGGAAGCATCGAAAAAGAAAGAAACATGGCCAGCAAGGACCTTGTGGTTTTGGATTCGGGAAAACTTTCGGTTCCCATGATACTTACGTGTCGGCTCCTGTGATGAACTACTTCTTCGGATGTGGTGGAGTACCAGTAGCTCCTTATGTCCCACAGTATGCACCAGTGCAGCCTTACCCAGTGCAGCCATACCCAGTGCATGGACATGGACATGGCGGACACGGGCATGGAGG